AAAAAAAAAAAAAAAAAAACACGTTTTTCCCGCGATATTTGTTTATTTTACGGTTCTGGAGGAGTTTGCGTGGAGAAGAGGAGCACATTAAGTGGGGATGTAAAGAAGACCTGAAAGCTTGGTAAGCTTTGCTTTAATTCATAATAAATAAAGTCGAGTTTAATGTTCTTCAAGATCAACTTAAAAGAAACTTTGAATCAGATTATTTATGGTTTGTTTTAATTCATTTTTTATTGTTTGTTTTTTTTGCAGACAGTTCCCTAATGCTGTGTGAGGAAGACTCTTGATATTTATCCAAAGAGAGGTGCACTTTTTTTCTTCTTCTTCTTTCTGGTGTTATGTCTGTCTCCTCCCTGCCAGAATGGAAACAACTTCTTCTGGAGAGAAAGAGGAGAGAGGAGGAGGAGCGAGAGAGGAGAGARAAAGAAGAGGAGAAGAAGTTAGCCAGCATGCCGGCATGGAAGCGAGGGCTCATTCAGAGGAGGAAGGCCAAGCAGGAGAACCCTGGGGACAGGGATAAGGACATCAGCCTGCTGCAGGTGGACCTCCGACCTCCCTCGGATGCTCTGAGCGACACCGACAGCTCTATTACAGTCAATCTGGGAAGTGACCCATCTCTCAGTCCAGATCCGGGGCAGTGGCTGGATGCGGAGGCCAAACTTGTCAGCCAGGTGTCCGTGGAGACCATAGTACCCGTCCACGAAAATCCATTTATCCGTACGCAGAGCGTGTGGAGGAAAGGCAGGGAAGCAGATGTTGGGAATGATCTGGAAGTCAAGGAGAAACCAAGTCCCAGGTGTCAAGATGTGGAGACGGGGAGAGGACGAGATATAGACCTGAAAATAGAGAGGTTTAGGGATTTAAGTCAGGGATGGGATAAAGAGAAAAGCTGGGATCGAAGCCTAGGAAGAGAAAGAGAAAACAGCCAAGATGGACTCGAAAAAGAGAAAAAGCAGCAAAAAGAGTTTGTTAATGATGCGAGGGAGCCGGACAAAGAAAACCACCCATCGTCTGGTACGTTCCCCCTCTCCGGTCCTTGTCTTCGGACCATCCGGGCTGACAACATCATCATCATCGAACAGGACAGAGGAGGGATCGACGAGCAGAGGGGGAGGACAGAGGAGGACCAGCAGGGGAAGAGGGGGATGAAGATGGACCTGAGGGAGATTCTGGCAGGAGGAGGAAGCGTCACCGAGATCCGAGCCTCCGAAGTTCTGATCATAAAGCCTTTAGCYGGCCCCGAGGAGAGGACTCAAGGAGGAAAGGGCAGGGAGGACGGGGAAATGAAGGGCGGCATGGAGAGTTTGGGAAGGGAGCTCAGGTCGGACATGTCCTGGCTGAGAGAAAAGGAGAAGGAGAGACCTTGGGGCCAGGCCACGGTTATCAATAAAGACAACAGGAAGGACCTCTCAGATGACTGCGTGTTTGTCGAGAGGGGAGGAAGGGTAAGCCAGTTGCTGAGTAAATTCGGAGAACACCCAAAGCCTCCATCTCGATCCAAAAGCTCGGATAATTTCCTCCAGGCAGGGTGGAGAAAGTACTCAAGCGATCTCGATGAACAATCTGAAGAGAGGAAGAGTGATGGGAAGAACCTGATGATGAAGAGCGTGCCAAAACGCTCGTTCAGCTTCTCCGATCGAGTCATCGGCGCCGTGGAGAACGGCGACGAAACATGTTACAAGAGGATGCACGCTGATAGAGGCGCGGCGCCGTGGGTGGATGCAGTGGCAAAACCCAGGCTGGGGTGCGCACGACTTTTAGACCGAGAGCGCTTCGGAAAACAGAGAGATGCTAAAACTGAGGAGGATAAGGGAGGAGCGTTGCACAAATGGGAGGCAGAAATGTGGAAAAAACACAGGATTGTCAAGAAAGTGGATTCCCTCGATAAGGGAGCTGCCGAGAACGCAGGAGACGCAGAAGGCGACCGAGGGTTCACTGTGGCATTGGCAAAAAACACGGAGAGAATATCATTCGCAAGGAAAGTGACAATCAGGCAGGATGGGAGAGCAAGAGCTGAAAGGGAAGTGAGGCAACCTACAAGGGAGAGGAGTTTGGACAAAGACTTGGAGACAGGGGGACAGACCGACACTCAGGTTCTGAGGGAAGATGAAAGTAAAACCCCTCCTGAAGGTTTCGACGGCRGCGCCACATCAGGAGAGCTGCTCAGTCCCAATGAAGCACAACACAGACATGATCCAGTTTGTACTGAGAGCTCCAGTTTTCCTTTCACCGATCAGGTCCACCAACGAGGGAAGGAGTGGAGTGGTACAGGACCAGAAGTACCTTATCTGACGCACTCAGTTCTGTCCCAACAAACGGAGCATCTTATAAGCAAAATAGAAAAACTGGGAGACACGACTGTTTACATGAACGAGAGAGGAGAAAGAGTTTACAAATCTGCACCTGAAATGACCAAAGAGAACCAACAGGAGACCCCAAGATCCCCAAGAAGGATCGCACCTGCTGGGATCCCTCAAGTTCCTCTGGAGATTCAGATCCCCAGGTCTGTGTTTTACGTCGCCGAAGACGTGTCGGATACGAAAAAGAACGAGTGTCGGAGCATCGACAGGCCGGACTGTGACGGAGGCCAGAAGGTGGAGAGGAGGGACAGCTGGAGGATCGGGAAACCTCTGAGCCGCATCGAGTCCCTGCGAGAGAAAATCCGTCAGAGAGAGCTGGAGAAGTGGAGGCAGAGGGAGGCCCGGGACGGAGATGGGAGTGAAGCTGCAGAGGCCTGCGACACCCAGACAGGTGAGGACAGGTACGAGCAGAGGGGAAGTGAAATCGAAAAGGAACGGGAAGCCGTGGCTTGTGTGCAGATGTGGCCGACCGAGGCAGAGATGGGGCAGGAAGAGGCAGCAGAGCAGACATCCACGGCTGACTGTGACGTCAAACGGGAAGTTGGCGTGTTGAAAACGTACCCTCAGCTTCCTGTTTCTGTCACACACTCACAAGACGACAGAGGAGAGGAAGTGACAGGCGAGTGCGCCTCTGCCGCTGCCTCTGAGGTAACCTCTGATAGCTCCCAGATATCCGAGGATGAAGACGACCCCCTGAAATATGTAGAGGAGCAGCTGGGGCACCAAAGGGGTCGATACGAAAGTGAGGAAGAGGAGGACGAAAAGGACCTCTCAAAAGAGGAGGTGAGAAACCACACACCTATCGATTCTACACCACCAATCTCCTCTTCACCGCCTCTTCCCAGCACCCTGGCAGCCATGAGCCGGATCTACAATCTGAAGACTGTGGGTTCCAGATCGGCGCTCTGTCTGCGGGACAAAGCGGTGGACGTCCCCTCGCCTCTGCACCTCGTTAAGGTGAAGCCGCTCGTTTCGAACTCACAGGGGGACGGTAAAACACTGACGGTTGAGGACGTCTGCGGGGTTCAGAGGCAGATAGAGCAGTTTCACCTGAAAGAGCAGGAAGTTCAGAAGCCATGCACGAACACTTCTTCAAAAGACAGAGAAACGAAAGGTCATCAAAGCCCAAAAGCAGCGTCGATGCACCTGAAGAAGGAAAAGGTGGATTCGCCAGAACTGAACCCCAAAGAGTCTCCTCAGGGTGTCTGTTCCCCAACGTCTCAGCTCAAGCAAACCATTGCCGTCACCCCTTCGTTTGTCAGGAGCCAGTCTCYGGACAATTCGCTAAAACCCACCAACTGTGCTCCGACTCCAGCCTCCTCCCCGAGCTCGCCATCTCCAGCCAACTCGCCCATCGCCTCCCCATCGCCCAGCCCGTCGCCGAAGCCCTTCACCATCAGGAGTGCTGCGGGGGGTCAAGTGAAGAGAGGCGCCACCATTACAATCACCCCAAAAAAGCCTGCTGTGGGGTTGACGACGGCCTCCCCGCCACGGCCGACACCAGAATCCACGAAAGGCCCAACACCGCAAATGACCCCTACCGTAGATGAACCAGCCAAGAAGAGGTACCCGGCTGCGGAGGAAATTGAGGTGATCGGTGGATATCAGAATCTGGAGAAGTCCTGTTTGGTCAAGAATAAAGTGACCCCAAAAAGGGTGAGTCTTTTTTATTTTTCACTCTTCATGAAATCACTGTTTTGAACTTGTTGTGTCACAGAATCGGCCRATTGTCAGACTCAAATACTGTCGAGTAGGAGGAGAACATCCCTTTTGATTGAGAAGTACAATCACAGAGAAGGAGCTAAGCTAAGCCGGTTAAAGCCTTATGAAGCACGCCATCTTGATTCTGAACCACAAAACCCAGGAGTGATCTCCTTTGTCATTTGCTCCTGTGCTCTAATTCTCTGCAGACTTTTGACTTTTACCCTGTAATTAAAACTCACATCTTTAGTTTGTTTTCTTGAAGCAGCAAGTGGGCTCGTGAAGCACAGTAATGGAAAAGTAGAGACGGAGAGATTTTGTGCAGGAAACCATAATTTGAGTCGGCCCACTCCTTCCTGGTCTTCTTCGTTTGTGTATTTCGTCTAACTTGAACGCAGGTCCACGTGAAAACATGCTCCTATTTATGGTTATTTAGCTTGAGCAGCTTCTGACTGCTAATGAATCTCAAAGTTTGTGCAACACTTCTTGTTTGTCCTTTCTCATTTCTTTTCTTTTTTTAACATAACAAAGGGGAAGATGAAAGTTTCTGAACCATCCTGTGTCGCCGAATCTTACTCTTTTTCGGATTTTCGCTCTTAGTAAATGACTCAAAAAGATGTTAGAGATGACGTTTCCCCTCTGTGGGCATCTGTTTCCTTGTTCCCTTGTGCTGATTCTCCCGTTAATGTTGAGTCAGCCCTCGCAGCCCCTCAAACAAATCACCCTTTGTATCTTCCTGGCTCTCCTCTAGCAGTGGTTTGTGTTGTTTGACTGCAGTTTTGTTCTTTTGGCAGAGCATTTCCAACCTTCAACTGTGCGGCTGAGTGTTACACTCTGCAAAACTAAAACAGAAAAATAAAAGAGTGTTAGAGGATCAGTCAGAGAAAAGGGCAAACTGTTAGTTTGTTGTCGGTTCAGCTGAGATGAATAAAAGGTCTGACAGAAACTCCCAGTCACTGCATGTTTTGTCTCACTTCCTCTTTCAGATGTCTGAGCTTCCTCCAAAAAAAAAAAAAAAAAAAGACACAAGAGGAAGTGATGCGTCGTCCACTTTTAAATCCCCAAACTTCTTGCTTTGCAAATTCTCAAAAGCTCAGCGACCAGAGATGAGAACTAATTAAGTTAATCATAAATAAACTTAGCATTAAAAGTAAGGAAATTATCACTAAAGCTCAAAGCAGGTGTTCATAGCAACAGCAAAATGAGCTGTTTGGCAGAAATGCTCATCCCACAAATGCATGTTCCTTACAAATGTGGCATACGGTAATTTAAAAGAGAATTTAACAGGCTTTTCAACGGTATACGATTATTAAATAAACAATTAAATAATCCACCAAACGTCCTTACTTTTTGTGCTGAGTTTATATAAACGACTGCAGTCGTCTTTAGCTGCAGGAGGCAGTGAGCACAAAGTGATTTTCTGACCACCTGCTGCTCTCACCTTGATGCTCCTCAGACGATTTGACGTCAGGCCTCTTTAACCATCGTTTCACAGCAGGAGGGCGAAATGTTTGTCTCACTCTCACCATTTAGCCCAAATTTGGCTCGATTTAAACTTTTGTTGCAAAACATTTTTCCTGATTTAAATTTTTTGTTTTGTTTTGTCTTCAAGTAATCCCACCTTTTAATTTGGGGGAAAAATCAAGTTTATGTCTTAAACTTGCTCAAACCCAGTCCTGCACCATTTTACTTTCTAAGCTGTGAGATTTTTTTTTTACTTCTTGTGCCCCGGTTCTACCTGTGTCCCTGCTGTCCTGCATCGTTAGCCTGGCTTAATCAGGGTCAGGAAGGGAGGATTACCCCCCCCCCCCCCCCCACCCCGGTGCTTTAAGGTAGCATCTCACTGGGCTGAGACTAGTGACTGAAGGTTGTGAGAAAAATGTAAGAAAAGAGGTGGATTTTCATTTTTCAGCTAGCTTTATGACCACGTTTGGCTCATCCAGTTGTTTAATTTAATTTTTTTATCGTAACTTATTTCTGTGTACCCGGTCCAGTTCTTTCTGCAGCATTCAAAGCAGCTTGATACAAACTCTTTACTAACTAAAGGTCTTACTTCCTGTTGGATTTCGTCTGATTGTTTACCCCACGCTTTCCACTGAGTAAACAATCTGTACTGGGTTTTAGCTGACCTTCAGAAAAACAGAACTTCAGTTGTTGTTGTTTTTTTTACTTCTCTCTTTAATTTGAATCATGATTTCCTATAAACTGTGATAAACTGTGGGGTGTTTTTAAAAAGGTGTTAAAAATGTCACTATTTTCATTATTTAGCTCACTTTTTGAGTGTAAAATCCTAGTTTAAAAAATCTACTAACATTTTATTGTTGTTTTGCTCACGGTTTTTACATTTTACTAACTTACTACATGTTAAATTTAAATGTTATAGGTTATATCAAAATGTTGACAAATGTAAATATTAAATGTAAATGCTGTAGCTAAATTCCAGAATGGAACACGGACTTTGCCGTCATCTTCCTGATACAAATGCTAACGCTGCCAATTCTGCGGTCTGTGTCCGAGCTGCACTTCAAACTGCCAGACCACAGTTACCAACTAGACATGGGTTTTTACGATGTAAAAATAAGTGTGCATTGCCTTGTAGCATGTCATTGCAGCATGGCTTTGCCTGCARCAKTGGACTTGCAGAATGAAATGTGACCAAGTTCAAATGTGTTTTCTATACCAGCTTGTGCCTGTCACGTCAGCAGGTGTTTGCAMTAAGGGTAATTGTGTGACAATATGAAGTTTGTAGAGATTTTCTGTTAAAGCTGCTGCTGCTGGATTTCAAACCGTGATCTCCCACATGAAAGCCCATGGCACTAACCATGAGACCATTAGAGCTGTGGTAGAGGACGAGGCCAGGGTTTGGTTTGTATGTGTGCAGAAAGWGGCCACATTGCCAATGTAATGGTTGTCACTAATTTGAAAAATATCACAAYAATAAARCAATATTAGGACAATATTTTAGTAAAACATCAAAACACAATCATATTAGTATTGCAAACACCGAACTATTGAGATTAAATATTATTAAACTATGGTGCAGTACTGAGTAGATACAGCAGGGGCAGTATTGGACCAATACAAGGCTCCATTGACTACTTGAATATAAATTATTAAACATTAATATTTCAAAAACTATAAGTTGTACAGGCACCAAAAGACATAGCCATCATTTGGCACAGGAGTTTTACAGATATAAATTACAATGGCAGCTCTAGGACAAAGTATGCAGGAGGAGAAGCATGCCAAAGTGGAGATGACTTGGATGAGAAATGAATCACAATAGTGTGCACACTGACTATATTGTTTTCAATGAACACAATTTGAATGTAAAATTTAAATACCATCTTCAGCAGTGTTAGCAGCATTAGTGTTTGCTTTTGTCGCAAGATGATGATGTCACAACAAAAGCTGCACYAACATCTGCGTTCCATTCAGAAATATTAAATGTAACATTTAAACTTCAACATTCAGCCACAACTTTTACATTTAGATTTAGGATTTAACATTTAGACATAAATGTAAAAAAATAGCATAATGCAAGAACAGTGAGCTAACTAATAAAATGTTACTGCAATGATTTGAACTAGGATTTTACACTCAGAAAGTGAGCTGAATAATGAAAATGGTGTTAGTGACATTTTTTAACATTTTATTTTACACTCGGCCTATCGTAAAATCTCACATTGTCGCTGTACGTAAAATAAAGTCTTCTTGTTTTAACGTCTGCAGGTGAAGGTGTGTTTCGACGAGGACCAGCTGGAGCAGGTGTGTGAGTACCCGTCAGAGAACTCCCTGCTGGAGAGGAAGGAGAGGCTGCAGGGAGAGGAGGYGCGTGAGGACGAAGGAGAAGTTGTRTTCAAGAGCATGAAGAGCGTGGAGATCAGCGTGGGTCAGTGTCACCCCCGTCTCAGAAAGCACAACGTGTAGCGGGATGACGTTTCCAGTGGATAAAATGTTACGAAATGTTCAAAGTCAGGTCAAAACCTTTCTGTAAAAATGATCATTTACGAATCCCATGAAAAGAACGGACCCAATTATACCAGTTGTGTCATTTTTTACAACTTTATTTGTAAATTCATTGAATTAACRATAAAAAAAGTGAAATATTGATGCCAGCAATGAAACAGATCTTACTTTGACCAAATTTAAAGGTTCGTTTTTGGCTGTTTTGCCACTGAATTGGCAAGTTTATGTGGTAAAACAAAATTAATAAAAATAAGTAGCTCACAATTAGGACATTTAACACTCTGCCTCAGTAACTAAAYGTTTTTCAACAGCTCTGTCTTTCATGGGATTTGTTCTTATTATACAAAATACAAAACAGTGAGTTTCTGATGTAAACTCCAAAAAAATCCCCCATTTTCATTGTTTTGTAGGTCAAATGGCAGCAGGTACGATGGGGAAAGCTTAGTAAATTAATACACCAAAGAACTAAGATTAACTTGCAAATATTTATAAATGGGACTGGATCTCGGCAACCAGAAAACCATAAACATTACTGTTTTTCAAATGGGAAGATCCAATAAAAACTCAGATTAAAACTAAATATATTCACCATATTTTCCTTCCGTCTCCATCTCTCTGTGCTTCAGGTGAAATCTCAAGATTTCATTAAGAATTATGTTTGTAGAAAATGAAACGTTTGGTTTCATCCGGGAACGAAAGTTAGATTTGGTTCATGCACTCAAAGGGACGTAACTGAGTCCACTGCAGGGAAATGTCAGTTATCGTTCAGGGACATCTGTGAATGTATTAAAATGGTGCACGTTAAATTATCACTTGTTTATGTAACATAAAGAACAGGATAAGAGTTTATTTTACAAATGTATGTTTTATAGTCTCTTCTATGTTAATATATATCTCAGTTTGAGTCAGCGCTGCCTCGGCACAGGAAAAAAAGATGTGATTTTTGTCATTTGTAATTATGTGCCTGCTGGTTTAGCTCCTACGGATGACAGGAATATTAATTAACATTTAATCTGAAACTGTTCAGATTAACCTGTCTGTGTTGCATGAAACTGGTTTTGGTGCAATAAGTGATGCAGGTCGTTTTCATACGWGGTTTGTTGAAGCCTTACTGGTTTTTAAAAACACCTCTGGTTCAGATGAAGACTGTGGACTTGAATAAAGGCTTTTATTTTGATATGTTTATTATAAACATCTCTGAGAGGAAGATTTTATTAAATAAACAATTCTCTTCTGCACTTCGGTAAATCACAGCTGATTGGGTTCTTAGCAATCCTTTATATC